AAATTGGTACAAATATAAAAATATGAGTTTATTTTAATTCAAAAAGAGCTTAAGTTTTTCGCGCACGAGCACTGCAGCCGGTGTATCAAACGAGTATATAAAATGTAATAATAGCTGTCAAAAATGCAAAACATATATATACATACAAATGTGTATACAGCGATTTGGGCATGCGTTGCCAACCACTCCTAAGATAAGCTTACAAAGGGTGCACACCTGAGATAGTTCAAAGTACAAATTCAAAAGATACAAAATTCAAAATGAAATGCACACTAGTAAGCTAGCTACAAATTGAGTTAATTAAATATAAGTGTTGCAGTGCTGGCGTAGCCAATATTATATCGTAGGATATCACTCAGATAATCTGGAAGTCTTCCTTGTTTTATGTTAAACATGAATTTCATAGCGTGATAGAAAATTTGCTGTTTCACGCTCAGCCAGTTTAATTCTGCGATCATTTCCTGTATGGGTGTGTCGTACCGCTTGTTCAAGATAAATCGCATAGCCCTATTTTTCATTTTTTGAAGGTTATCTATTTGTGCGTCGCTTGCTATAAAAAAGGTTGTTGGACAGTATATGAAATGAGGTTCAACCATAGATCTGCAGACCAGAGTCTGCTGTGTAGTCAATATGTTCCTGAAATTTTAACTTTTCATCGATATATATACCTAGGTATTTAATGATTCTCACTTTCTCAATTAATTCATCTTTAATTTTTAAACTGTAATTATTGCAGCTAACGTTAGCAGCTCTAGATATGACCATAAACTTTGTCTTGTTCACATTTAATTGCAGTCTGTTTACGCACAACCATTTATATAAACAGTGAAGGTCTTCTTGCATTTTAATCATTGCATTGGGTAGATTACTGTCACTGAGGGTTAAGAGGGTATCGTCAGCGAACAATTTTACCTTACAATTCTTCAATACTGAGTTTATGTCGTTGATATAAATATGAAAGAGTATTGGAGCTAACACCGACCCTTGTGGTAGACCAATATCTACTGCTACCTTTGTGGATAGAGCTGTGCCAATCACCGCTTGTTGCTTCCTATCAGAAAGAAAACTACGGAACCATGTAAGTTCGATGTTATCTATACCAATATATTCGAGTTTTTTTAGCTCTATTTCCCTGTCGATCGTCTCGAAGGCTCTCTTAAGGTCCACAAACACCGCCAAGATAGTTTTCTTGGAATTCAGGTCCTCCGCTCATTGTGATAAGATCAAGTTTAGAGCTGTTTCGCATGAGTGAAAAGTAGTGAGTATTTTATTTGACTCAATATAGTTTATTAGTTGATTTTTACAACCGTATCCAGTATTTTTCTAAGTTGGGAAATGGTATTTATTGGCCCCTTATATACTAATAGGGCGTAGAAGTGACCCATGCATTCAACGGAGTCTTTGGTTCCACCCTCGAATAACAAATTATTTCCACCAATTTTTATCTTGAACTTCTTTACTGTATGGATAA